TCCAATCGTGATATTTCTGGATATCACTTTGCGACTTGTGTCAAGTGATTATGAAAGACATTCATAAGATTAAATAAACTTTTTAAGAAAATCGATATATAGATAAGTACATATAAATTATAAACTATTTTTCTCTTTATTATGTTTCAATTAGGGTTTTGTGTTATAATTTTTTTGAATGTTATGTAATTCTAAGAAAATCTTTGTTAGATTATTTCTGTAGCTAAGGTTTATGGAAGCTTTTATAACCTACTATATATCTATAAACATAAAAATAAAATAAACGTTTTTGAGTAACAAATAGACAATGGATATTACGATTAGATCCCCAAAATTTTCATTTTTAGGTATTTTATAATAAATACAAAAAATAATATATTACCACAAACGCAATTTAGGGGCAGTGTATTCGGTTTGAGTGGCAATTCACACCCAAGTGGAAATATGGGTTTGAAAATAGCCACGCATCCACAATAAACTGAACCAAAGTCCGAAGTACATCACGAGGCCAATTAACATTAACTACACCACAGAAGAAAAGTATAAAAAATTACAATTCTCAACAAAAGATTGAAAGCTAACAACGAATTATAAAAGGGTAGAAAGGGTGGCGGGGTGACTTCTGTTACTCACAGGGTGCTAAATCGCTGAATATAAAATTACAATTTTTCAGTCGAAGTTTTCCTTGTTCCACAATAATTTTTTTGTATCAAAGCTTTAAGAGTAATTTCATATCGGATTATGCCTACGAAAAAATTTGTCAGAGGGTCTAACGGTTATTTATAGGCTGCTAAACCCCTCAATATTAAATTACAAATTTCAGTGGAAGTTTTTCTTGTTCCACAATAATTTTTGGTATCATAGCTTTAAGAGTCATTTCATATTAGATTATGCTTATGAGATACTTTGCCAAAGGTTATTAATCGGGTGCTAGACCCCTCAATGTTAAATTACAATTTTTCAGTGGAAGTTTTTCTTGTCCCACAATAATTTTCTGTATCATAGCTTTAAGGGTCATTTCATATTAGATTATGCCTATGACATAATTTGTCAGGAGCTCTACGGGTTATTCGTAATATGCGAAATTCTCCAAAATTAATTATTTTTTAGGGGATGTTGTTGCGCCACTATTAGTTTTTGTATGTATGCTTAATACTTTTTTATTGATGATAAATAATCATCAACAAGAACTTCGAAATCAGTATTTCTGTTATGTCAAATATGTGAATTAGGTTTCTAATAATTTTTTTTGCAATTCTTAGACCCTGGTTATGCTTTAAAATGAGTGCGTATATTTAAAAGAAAAAGACATTTCTACGTGTCGTTTAATGGAATATCAGCTCAGGTGTTGTAAACTTTATAAGGATGTATTAAAAAGTAAATTCCTTAGGCTTTGGCCTTCCCATGTATGCATGTAGGTACTTGATTTGTAAAATATTCCAAAGGTATTTTATGTATGTTTAGTCCTTAGACATCTTGTAACAAGAATAAAATTTCACGGACAATAACTCTTTTAAAATGGCGATCATATCTTCTTAATAAAGATAATAATCGACCCAAATTTTAAATTAAATTCTGATTTTAAGTCGGTAAACATTAGTTAGCAGTTGAATAAAACAAAAGCTTTTATCGTCTATAGAAGTGTCAGAAAGCCTTTTCGTTATTACAAGTTGGCCTTGGTCAGAAAAGAATGCAATCAGGCCCTCGATTTACTAACATTTTCTTAGATTACTAGATCTTTATGTTGCACGTTATAGTACAATAGACACTGCCATATAGCAATCGCGGCTAGCTGTGACCTTTGTGTGTATCATGCAATTACTAGCACCGACTGCCCCGCCTACGAAAACTATGAAAACTATTGCGAGAGTTGAAACAAACAGAAAAAAAACAACAGCCTGCGTTTCGTTTTGTAATATCTGACCAAGTAAAACGCCAAACAACCGCCTTTTCTAATCTAGATCTCTTCTTAAGCCGAATTAGTAGAGTGCACTTGATGTGTTGTTATTGGGTGAACTACATTTTATCGACAAGTGAAAGGCAAACAAAATCATGTCATTTACGAAAAGCAATTGCGAAAAAATAAACTTTGTTTGAGTGTTTTCTATATCAAGTAAAGTAAATCACGACAGGGCCGAGCTTGATCGATATTTGGCCCGTGATTGTTTAATTCTGGTCAAATGCCTGGGCTGTCAGTTCGGCATAAGGTTGTTTAACAAACTTGAACCACGACTGATAAACCGACGCTGAATCAAGACTTGGTTCTTTACACAAATAAAAACGTTTCAACCCTTAAGTGCTTACATTCTTTGCTTAGTCATATTTAACTAAGAGAAAAAATGGAGAAAATTGACAAGCCTATGCTTAGCTTTTGATCTCTGGTCCAGGTTTGGGCCTGTCACCAAGTCCGGCATTTCCTACATGGGCAGTGGCCCCTTTAAAATTATACCTAATAATTTACCTTTGGCTGATCCCACATTTTATAAAACATCGGACATTGATGCTCTTTTAGGTGCNTCAGAAAAATGAGCGAAAATGTTATTATTAATCATTTGGGTCACTATAGCCGGATATGATTTCTTGAGAATCAGTCATAACAAACGATATGTCATTTTAAACGGAGTCATTATATCCAAATTTTCCTATAGAGAATTTAATATGAAAACCAAACAACACTGCAATTACTTCATATTAAGCGGCTGGCCAATATAGGCGGAGTCATAATAAAATAGACTTGAACACTTAAAGATATTGCCAATAAAATTAAGTGCCATGTTTTGGCGTTAAGGTTTGAGCTATTTTGAGTGTTCCACAACACTGCCAAAGCTTATAGATTAAGCAAAGATTACGTAAATAATATAACTTTATTTCTGGGAGTTGCTATATGACCAGTGTTTATTCACATCTGCGTTGTTTTATCCCAAATGAAAATTTACCGTTACACCATTAAAAGTACAAGAAGTCCCGCCGCGAACTATAATCGTCTAAAACGCTCATTTAAACTCTCGTTTTTATTATATGCCAAACTGTCCAGTTCAACCCGATCCGCTTTACTGCTATTTAACTAATGGTTCATTACATCCGCCATTAGTTTTAGAAAAAAAGGAAATTATCCACCGAAATATGAAACATGAACGTAAAATAAAGAAACCTAACGTGCACTTTTAGATATCTGAATGGTTTGATGGGTTAAATGATGAACGAAATGATATTTATTGGAACTACAATAAAAAGAATGCTGTCAAAACAACTGAAGATAGTCAATCATACCATGACAGGTCTTTTTGCGAACAATTTGGTCTGTAATCTCTTTGGATATCTAAACGTTCAATCATCAGATACTTCATGAATCATTGACGACATCATGAGAAATATTTTACAAATGTACAACGTCTTGTCATTATTATTTGTAGGTACAAGAACAATAATAACCGATGATGACTACTACTTTAGTTTGTTTGAGGCAGGATTTAGGATGCTGTAGCTTTCGAGAAAAGCAAAGATTAGCTCAAGATATGAGGAACTGGATGACTCAAGACCTTACGATGATAATGATGAACTTCATCTTTCAATGAATAAGTAAACAAATGAAGAAAGGTTATTATAATGACAGATGGCATTAAATGGCAGTAACATGGCGGACGTTAGCCGCCATATGTTGATGGATTTAAATTCAAATTAAAGAAATTGAAACGACTATTCCAGAAATATTCGTGTAACTGCAAGGTTTACCATTCAAATTCTTAAAATTATTTTAATATCGAGTCACAGGGCAACGCTGGTATTTGTTGTCTTTTCCGGTTACCAATGTGGAGGTCAGAATTTACAGAAAATTGCCGAGGTCTATTTTTACACTACCTATAAATAGCTAAAACAACGAGCTTTAAATGCAAGGGCGTTTTATATACAGTCGAGCGGAGTGGGTGAACATTAACATGTTTGTAAGGGCGTACGTAGATTCATTCTTCGTACAACTTCAGCGGAATAATTGAAGGTCGCGAGACCAAATAAAGAAAAAATTAGAAACATTAATGAGGTTTTTGTTCTCTTCATGTCGGCGCAATTAAGAACTGTGCAATAAAACGAATTTATTTCTTTTGCAATTATAAAGTAAAGTTATTGTCATTGTTCGTGGAGTTTCATAAACAGTAGGGATTATTTTAAGAAGATAAAAGATACTCTCGTAGTAAGGGAGTTTTAAGATAACGGACAAACGAATAGGTAATTTAAAGACAGAGTAAGGAAACGTCCCTACAAAAGGCTTCTTTGTAAAGTTAAAAGGTACTTTTAGGATGAATTTGTTTGCCTATATGTCAATGTTAATTATATAGGATTGTAAAAAGCAATATTAGGGAAATTTTTCGCATACATGCTCGCTAGCAACAAATTCTAGAAAAAATAGGAGGCAGAAATAAAATTATGACATTTATTTTAATATAGTGGATTAAAGTTTTGAAATCGCTATTTTTATCGACTTAATCTAGCACTTATGTTTTGATAAAATGAAACCAATTTGAAATATAAATCATGCTAGTCTTAAACTTTACTTTAGTCCTTAAAACTACGCGAATTTTTCTAACGTTTAATCGAATCATTATTGAAAATAACTACGAAAAGTTCTCACAAACGTCTAAAAATTAGCATTCCAGTGATGTAACCATTTTCCCATATGGACTTTTGCGGAAACACTTTAAAATGCTCGAGACCTATAAGCACTCATACCTATAGTCGGCGTTATGTTTGTCTACTAAATGAAGTTCATCGTTCGGATGTTTAAACGTTCGTACAAGCGAATTGTTATTCCGAAGAGAAGCCTTTGACATTTAAAAATTCATGTGTACACCGTTTTGTTAGAATTAGTCAGTCACAATTATTATCGAATCACATAAGTGGTTATATTTGGAATGCGATAATAACAGTTTGTCAAATTTCACGTAATTTTAAATGTTAAATATAAACATTTTTCTTAACCCACTCGTAATTAGTACCTATGTATACCCATGGTAATTTTACTTTCAAGATGATGGATTATTTTTAAAAAATATATAGATTTAAACTGCTTAAATAATTCCATATCCAAAAATCGTATTTTCAATCTGGTCCAAATTTCTAAAAATGAAAAAGATAAACAAACAAATTTATTAATTGGTTTTTACTGAATTTTTTCAATTAAACATTCATTCGTTCAGTGTCCAATGGATGCATAACGTAAATAAATTAATTTTGAACACGGGGGTCTTTTTGGGAGGTCAATAGGAAATTAAAAAAAAGTTTTGCAAACTGTACCTGGTGACATACCAAATGAAAGAGCTTGTTGTAAGGTTCTCAAAAAATATATTTTTGCCTAAAAGGTGATTTTAATTTATATTTTGATATTATCCGTTTTCAGCGATTAACAATAATTGGCGTTTAAAACTTTTCCCTTTGTTTAAAAGGAGTTTATGATGTGTTAAATTACCTTTAATAAGCCGCTATTGGAAGGCTAATTGAGGAGCTTTCTTTCCTGATTTGGAGTTGATAAGATTCGCGGTTTAGTGCACTCAAATTATCTTATTAATGCATTCTTTAAGGTTTTCCGTTCGAATATAAATTATGCACATTTATTTACTGATTGCAGTAGCAAAATACTTTCGAAATGAAAATAACAATAATAAATAAGTATTAGGATCATGTCGATCCTTCGACAATTCTGTGAACTTACTTTCTCAAGTAATTTTCTAATGAATAAATAATAAAAAAAATCTTTCATTCATATAATATTGTGTTGCACATGTGTCTAATAGGTTGTTGTATCTGTCTGAGACGGTGTCGTTAGCGTGGCTTTGAAAGTGGGTTAATAATACGAATATGTGAAGATTCTTCACTAATAACATCAAACAAATGTCAGACACTGAAAAAACAGATGACTTCTGCTCTTCTCCTGCGATGCAACGAACAGTAAATTGTGTTGTTAAGCTAAATTATTGAGAAATTTACCTTATTATAAACCAGTTAGCATTTGCTAAGGTGTGATTAAGAATTTGCAGAATTATTTTGCTAAGGTAATACTCTAAATACCCTAAAGAGTATACAGTCGACCTTTTGAGTTTAACCGATTAAGTTTTACAAATTTAAACATCTGAAAAATTCACCATGTACACCTTCCCATTTATACTAATCGACTGTAAACTAAAAGGTGTTTGTTACGTTTTAAACTTTATTTTTCCGTAAATAAGTAGACACCATAAATTAAAATATACTATTTTGATTGCATTTCTAAAACTATTTCAATTATTTTCGTTATTTCTAAATTATATTGAGTAATGCCACAACTCGTTAAATCCCTATTAATCAACTCAAAACCGGAACTCAAACCTTATTAAATGGAATTCGGGTTTGATTAAAAACCTTTTTATTAGTGTTTACTCAGACATCAAATTAATTTTTTTCCCATGAATCAGATACAACTATATAAAGTTTGATGATTGTAAATCCTTTATTAGGAATTGTAGAAACGGTAAAATTTTTAAATGTTTATGAATCATTTGATACGCTTTATATCAGTAGCATGTACTTTACAAGGGGGGGGCTACAGTGAAAGAATTAAAATGAAAGGTAACAAAAAGTGTAAATTGACTTTTACTAAAAAACAAACGATTACGCATTTGTCAAAAAACAATCGCCTTTCCTTTTTTTAAATACAATAGCAGGTATGAGACTGTATCGTTTCATGCATGTAGTAGCCATCAATGTATTTTAATATACACCTTTTATATGAAATACCTGTAAAGATTTATTAAAGTCGTAATTCGATTTATTACAAAACACTTTTATCGGTATTTAACTAGATTGAAACGTTGTAAACCAAGTGCTCATAAAATAGATAAAAACACAACAAAAATTAACATACTGTAGTTACCAATTCGATTGCCGTTGCCCTAACGGTTTCTGCATTCCTTTGTGCGTGGTCTATTAGACTCTTTTACGTCCTTAATGAGGATTCTAGGTCAAAATATGGATCAGTTGTATAACCTTCTTACATTTAAGCGAATTACTTTCAAAACCATACATACATTTACAGTAAATTAACTTTCTTTACTTTTGAAACGACTCTCGCCAAAAATTATCATAAAAAAGTATGACGTCACTAGAGAAAATACTAGAAAAGAAAATAGAAAGGATTTCATTTGAATGTGATGTCTCTATGAATAAAATGCTATTTTGCTTTGTCAAAGATTATGTATTGGAAAATTAAAGAAGTGGGTGGGTGTAACTACACCATTAATATTGTACACAATTAGTGTAAATTAAACAAAATGTGAATATCATAGTTTCCATAAATAGTGAAGGTAAGCAGACGTGGTTGGGCAATTCCCACAAAGTTAAAGCGTGTTCTCCGAATTCCAATGAGTAAATCTATTTGAATGCGGGTCAAGAATTACTGATGGTTTATAACTAAATATCAATTTTTATGGCAATTACGTAATCATCTTCATAGTAGTTCGTAAAACGCATCGGCCAAGTAAGTCAATG